TTTTTCACAGTAAATTACATTCACTCTAACGAATGACCTTCAGCAATAAAGTATTGTTACAAGTCCCTGACCGGGAATATGCACAGTCAGCTTTCACTTTATAAAAAGACTAGAGGCCCAGTGCACAAATTCGTACACATCAAAAGGAAATTAATTAGAAGAAATATTTTAGATGCCAGGGAGGGCCCATGGGAGGTTGGCTCCAGGGCATGTTCAGCCTGTCTCACCCAGTCCTAATCAGCGGGACCCCAGTAGAACCTAACCTACAGGTTGGAGGGTCTGCCCCCTGGTGGTCAGTGTGCTTCACAGCGACTGGTCGAGCAAAGGATTGAACAGTCTACCAAATGGTTGGACACTTAGCATATTAGGCTTTTATATATATCAACTAGAGGCCCAGTGCATGAAATTTATGCAATGGAGGGGGGGGTCCCTCAGCCTGGCCTGCACCCTCTCCAATCTGGGACCCCTTGGGGCTGCTGGCACCTAACCGCTCACCTGCCTGCTGGCCTGATCCCCCTAACTGCTCTCCCCTGTTGGCCTGATTTTTCTAACTGCTCTCCCCTGATGGTCTGATCCCCCTAACTGCTCTCCCCTGATGGTCTGATCCCCCTAACTGCTCTCCCCTGCCTGCCTGATCCTCCTAACTGCTCTCCCCTGCCTGCCTGATCACCTCTAACCGCCTCTGCCTCAGCCCTGCCACCATGGCTTTGTCTGGAAGGACGTCCGGAAGGTCGTCTGGAAGATGTTCAGTCTAATTAGCATATTACCTTTTTATTAGTATGGATGCCACCTTGCCTAAAAATGCAGGTTGTTAGCAGGTTTTCCTATAGTGGAAGGAGAGCCCACAGTAGCATCCTGGGTTCTGACCAGGGCGTACGCACTCGTGCTTTATCTCAGCAGATGAGATTCCTGGAAGACTCTTGGATGTACCTGGAACATTTCTATCGATTTTGCCAAATCATCCTCCAAAAATACTGAACCACTTTAAACTCCACCAGCAACCATGCGTGTGCCCTCTGTCCTACTCTGATGCCAGTATCATTGATTTCCCCCAGAAGCTTCCCTCCCCTCAGCCGGGACTGCTTGGCACTTGAGCCAACCTCACTGTTCAGCCCAGGACTTGATTTACCGAGATAGAATTATGGAGGAGGAAAGATAGTTTTCCTCTACCCTTCTGAGTTCTTAGTGGAGGCCCTTGTAATGAAAGACAGATTACCAAGAGAAAAACCAAAGTTCATTATCATGTGTACCTCGTGTATATGTGGGAGATCCCAGAGAAAAATGAATAACTTCCCAAAGTGGCTTAGAATCCAGAATTAAATACCTTCTTTCTAGGGAAAGGGGACGGGATATGTAGGCCTCTTAGAGGAGAGTACATGATTTTTAGGAAAGATGAATGGGGGTGGGGGAGATAGTTTGTAACAAAGTTTGGATGTGATGTCAACTTCTAGTCTCTTGTCCTGTGACAGGAGTCAGTCTTCACTGGCTGATGGCACTTTTCCCATCAAGGGAACCTTTTGGGGGGTCCGATTTTAGGCAGAGAAGCAGACTTCAGTGAAAACCTCTCCTTGCATTTGCTGTTTTTCAAGCATCTGCAGGTCAAGATCATCAATATAAAAACATGGCATATGTTGGGGTGGCCTGTTCTCTGACCTTCAGAATAAACCCAACAAAAGCCTCTCCACCGCCATCCGCCTCCACCTCCGCCACCGGCTGACGCCAGCGAGTCGCAGCGCCGCGAGAGCGGCCCTTCTCCGACCGCCAGGAGCTTGGGGATGCGGCGGGGGCGGGGCTGCGTCTGCCCGGAGTTTTGCATACTGCACCCACAATACCCCGCGGCTCTAGGACGTGCTTGGACGATAAAACTACTCAATAGATGAGGGATTTACGTGATGAAAGATGCCTGAAGTAAGCGCAGCAATAGGAGATGTTGTATGATATGGCGCCGTAAGAAGCCAGGTCAAATGGAAGCGTAAGCTATATCGCTGTAACTGCAAAGAGAACTTCTCTCTTTGCTTTTAAATTCGTAGCCCAGGGCAAACCGGAGTCAGTGCTCTTTGCAAATCTTTGCGGGTTCTGCCCGGCGCTCCCTGACGCCTCATGACCGTGGCCAGCTTGGCCAGGCCCATTGGTGCGCGCATGGGCCCCATCTGGTGTCATAGGGTGTCGTGGCGCCCCGCCTCTCCCCTCAAAGCTTGATTTGGCGTTAGGGCGGCTATGCCCGGTGCCAGGGGTGCCAGGCTCGGAACCAGCAACTCGCCGGCTGGGGACGGTCACTCTGAACCCCGGCGCGAGGGAGGAGTGGTTTGCTGAGCCGCGATTTTCTCTTTAGGTTTTTGCCATCCCCCCGGCTGTCTCCTTCCTCTATAAAGTGTGCTATGTACTTCGCATGCCTACACCCCAACATTCATTCTATGCCACGCGCTTCCACTGCCCCCACACGCTCCAACATTCTAGGCAGGGCCTGGCTGCATGGAGCGCACCAGGCAGGAGCCGAGACAGGGGCCATGGGGCCAGGACCCTCAGCAGCCGCCCTGAAGGACAATGGACACCTCCGTCTGCTGGAAATGAGCACACAGTGCCAGTGCTGGTCACACAGACAGGGTCCCTGCCCTCACAGAACTTGGTGACCAGCATGGACATGGGCAAACACGCAAGGGGGCGTCTGCTCTGCTTCCTCGTGTTGAGCGCCCAGCCTCAGGGAGGCACATGGGGCCTCTGACAAAGGCCAGGGCATGGCAGCTTGTGGGGCAGCTGTTCTCAATGAATCGTGTGCTAAGGCAGGGAGGAGACTTCAGCTGGCGCCCACAGGTTGAGGAAAGCCTTCCACACCTACCTGTCGGGTGTCATAATCCTGGGAGCCCCACAGCCTGAGTGGGCACACAGACCCACACCTGCGCTCCCACAACCAGGAGGCTACAGTCCTTCTCTTCCTGTGCTCTGCGTGGTGCCTGCATTCAGTAGGTGCTCAAAAATGCACTCTCTTCGAATTATTATGGATCACCTCCCCCCTCCCCACGACCCCCAGATCACTTGTTAGTTGAAAAGGGGAAAATAAATTTTTCCAATGGAGAGGCCAGGCCCACTTTATCCCCTTGCCCTGGGGCAGGCGCTGGGGGTCTCTGATATGTCCAGCAAGGCCCAATGCGCATGGGCTCCTGAGCAGGGACATTTAGCCAGTCTGGCCAAGAAGGAGAATGTTAAACTCAGTTTATTGTTATTAATATAACGTACGCTGTAAAAGCCCCACGTGCCGGCGGCTGCTGGATCCCGCAGTGCAGTCTAGAGCTCACTCCCACTTAATAGACACACGAGACCCATGATGCCAGTGCAGCTTCACCAGGAGTGAAAACGGTGGCCGGCCTCTGGACAGCGCCTGGCCGCCTTGGAGAGTCGCCGTCAAGAAAAAGAACAAGTGGGGAAAGAAGGTTCTAACCCTAAACCACAAGAGATGGAGGAGGATTGAAGGCCTCGCTGTCCTGGGAACAGCAGGGAAGTTAGAAGCTTGGCTGGATTTGGGAGGATGCTGGGGGGCTGTGTGTAGGTGGGGGGCGTGGGGGTGTAGCTGGTTTGGGGTGCCGGGGACCAATTCCAGCATGTTCAGCATGGCTGTATCTGGGAATGGCCTAAGGCCTTTCCCCAAACTTGAATAGGAAACTGATTGTGGCTGACAGACAGCTAAAAAGCAACTTAATCTACATGTTATTGCCTCCTACTGGCCAAACACCTGAACAGCCGTAGGCTAATTTCCCCATTCTGACCATGGACCCTGTACCCTTTGAAGTGTATATCTCTGCCTCGCCTCAGGACAAATTGTGTTAATAAAAAGCATGGGGTCCTGGGGACGGGGAGAACCTAAGGCCTTAGACTTAAGACCTTAGAACTTAGCTCCTTTAGCTAAGCTCCTCTGACCCCCAATGCCTTTCAAAATTATATTTCGTCTCCGGACTCTTTATTAGTCTCTGGATTCCTATGTCATCTACGCAGAACCCCTTCTCCAAATTCCTGAACCCTTCTTGGTGCTGGGGCAAGAACCCCGGCATTGGGGCATGTTGAGAGTTAAACTGGGACTGGAGAGGGGGCACTGAGCCGATGACCCTCCAGCAGGGGCTGGGAGGAGGACAGTGCAGGAACCAGGTGGAGAATGTCAGGCAGAGGGCATAGCTGAAGCCAAGGCCCTGCAGCAGAGCCAGGAGAAGCCCCGCTGCCCTGAGCAGAGCCGGTGGCCTAGCGGACGCCTTGTTGGGGGTCAGTGGGGCTCTGGGGCGCACTGTGAGCAACAGAGGGTCCTGACCCAGTTAACAGGCTGAGATTGTTACTTTTGTCGTTTCTGCTGCATCTTGCCTGTGTTGTCTGAAGTGTCCAGAGGCACATAATGCCTTTTTGCAGAGAGCAAGGGGAACGCCTGAACCCCCAGGAGGTGCCCACAGCCTCTGTTGAAGGGCCCAGTCCTGGGTCGCACCCTGACCCTCTGGGGTCCGGCTAGGAGCCCAGACACTGCAGGGAGTGGATTGCCATAGAGGGGGCTGCCGGAAAGGGGCGCCAGGGCCATCTGCTCCTGCAGCGTCCCCCCCCCCCCCCCCCCCCCGTGCCAGACACCAAGACCCCTGGGCTCTTGTTGCTCAGACTGAGGCCTGCCCTGCACCCCTACCCCAGCTCGTGATGGAAGAGTAATAATAACTCCCATCCACTAGGGGGCCTTCCCACACCCCGGGCCGGCAGCCAGACAGGCTTAGGGAAGGAAACAGGCCTCTGGTTAAAGTGCACATGGTCTGACTGTCACAGCCCCTGAACACGCCTGGGGGGAGACGAGGAGAGAGGTGACCCAGTGAGACATCACAGGGCACGCGAGGTCTTGTGGTGTGTTCCACCGGGTTGTTCTGTACCTTTCCCCAGCACAGGCCTTAAAAGGAAGGTCACCCCCCAGGCAGAGTGAAGAACCGGCCCTTTTCCTGCCTGTCCACCGTAATGTCACACACAGCAGGAGGCGTGCGTATGGATCATTGTTTATTTTATTGTTTATTTCACTTGGACAATTGGGAAAACACCAACATGTAAGACGGAATCGAAGCTAACAGGTGTCTTACTGGCAGTTAATTGGGTAATTTTGTGAAAATAAAGATGCGCCTGTTTAAACCGAACAGCACTCAGTCACTGCCTGGGCTGGGACCTTTGCCATGAAGGCCTTGGTGCTGGTGAGAAAGCCATCGCCCTCCCAGCGCCTTGCACCTCGCAGGCACCTGCAGCCCCGGGGCAGCAGAGCAGCCGCACCCCCTGGGACAGCCCATTACCCACTGGCTTATTCTGAGATTCCCTTTCGGCCGCGAGGCTTTGCCAGGACGCAGTTCTCCGGCCATGTGGCTCGCTTGGCAGCGCGCGAGGTAGGTTCTCTTTGCGTTTTGCAGATGTTCCTTTTCTTGCTTTGACCAGAGGCCGGCCCATGTCCAAGGTTGGAACAACCCCTCAGTCGCCAGGCTGCCCGAGTCTAACTCTTCAAATCCGGGGGGATGTTTTCCTCGTCCACAGGCTGTTTCGGCTTCAACTGGCTGCTCAGGGTTAAGAAGGAGTAGCGCAGGCCCCCCGCCATGCTGAGAGGGGGAGAAAGGGGAGGATAAAGAACCCCGGCAGCTGCCCCACCTCTGTACGCAGTCAGCTTCCTCGGAAGGGAGCTACGAGCCCCGTGTTATCCCTGTTTGTAGGTTACTTGGTGAGAATTACCCCTCTTATTTCAGAAATCTTTGAGGGCAGAAAAAAAAAAAAGAGTAGATCAAATCTAACACAGAACTTGGTTGAGAAAATAAGCACTTGGTTATTACTGAATAAACTATACATTCTTATCCTAAAATAGCACCCCAGGTCTGGGACCCCAAAATGCCCTTTAACAGTATTTTGGTCTCCCCTCCCGCTATCCTCAGCATGTGGCGCTTTGACATGCACGAGTTTAAAGAGGCCACTGCACCAGAGGGAGACAGACGGGGGCTCTTCCGGGAGGAAGGGGCGTGGATTAAAGCTGACCTCAGCCCTGGAATGTTCATTACTCCTGACACACGAGGGGAAACAGATGAACTGAGTGGTTTAAGTGAAATTATCTTAGAAATTGGCATGTCAAAACACTACTCCTTCACTTATAAAACACTAGAGGCCCAGTGCACAAAATTCATGCACGGGCGGGGGGAGGGGGTGTCCCTCAGCCCGGCCTGCGCCCTCTCGCAATCCGAGACCCCTCCGGTAGGGTCCCTAGACCTGGCTGGCAATCAGGGCCTATCGGGGCTTTCCTTCCCCCGGTTGCTCGCAGCTGGCCCTGCCTCCACCACTGCCACTGCCTGCTATCTGTGCGGTGCTGCACCCCCCTCCCCACCATTGGTCGCCTCCCTCTCTGGGCAACAGGCTGTGGTGGTGTGCGATCACTTGGCTGGCCTGGGCCTTCCTCTGTGGGGCAATTGCTGGCCGGCCCCGCACACCCACCACAGTGTTGCTGGCCGGTAGCCTGGGCCTCCCTCTGTGGGGCAATAGATCATGGGACTCTGCGATCGATTGCCCAGCAGAGGGAGGCCGCACCCACTCAGCCGTGGATCCGCAATTGATGGCTGCGCAGAGGGTGGCCTGGGCCTCCCTCTGCTGGGCGATCCTGAGGTGATGGTGGGGCCCCTCAACCAATCACATCACATCCACCTTGGCTGGCCTGGAGCCAGTGCGTGTCATAGCGTGGTCGTCCAGACGGTCGTTCTGCTGTTCAGTCATTCGGTCAATTTGCATATTATGCTTCTATTATTATAGATTAGTCAGACTTTTACAAATTCATATTTTGCAAAAATGAGTTCACTTAAAAACCCCACTTACCAAATATTTAACCCTATGAAGTTTAACACAGAGAAAACGTAGTCTCCACCGACTAACATCCCAATGTAGGCAATGGATACGTTCTGCAGGGAAAGAGACGGTCAGTCATTTTAAAAGTGAAGAATTTAGGGGGAAAATACATGTCCACGGTGAAATCTGAAACTAAGTCTTTTAGTTGCTTTGCACACAGTAGGTGCTCACAGAATGTTGGATGAATGAATAAAAATCCATTGCAGATAAATAAAGTGAAGTGAACTGTGGCACGGCAATCACAGAAGACTGCATTATTCATGCTTCACACACAGGAAGCAGAGGTAAGAGTTGGGTAATAACCAACTTTCCAGACCCCATCTCTCTACCATCACTGGGTCGTGAAATTTCATTATATCGACCCTAAACTTGAACGGAGCAGAGATGTCTCATCAATTCCAGGCCGCGCTCTGCCCCTCGAATCCCAGGAGGCCTCTGGGCAGCCTTCGGACAGCCTCCCGGGCCCAGGCAGCTTCCCCACCTCGTCCATGTGAGTAGGAAGACAAAGCAACGTGGAAGCGAACGCAGACCCCTGCCCTCTTCATCCATGTGTGCTCTCAGCTGCCTGCACACACACACACACACACACACACACACACACACACACACACGCCCAGGGCCCACGTGAGCCGGGCACCTTGTCACTGAGCGGCCCTCTTCACAAGGGTTCCCTTTCTTCGCCAGCAGATCCTCCCAGGAAAACAACGTGCAGATGGCAGGGCATCTTGGTGAGCGTGGGAGGTTGGCCATGTTTCAGCTTTTGACTCCATTTCTCAGACCATGCCCCTGCACGACCCCCCATTAAAACATCATAATGTGCCTCCCCTTTTCCAATGAGCTAGTCCTCCCTCCGTTTTCTGGGTTAGAAGACGGAGGAAGTGATCGCCCAGGCACAGGTGGAAATGTCACAGCCTCCCTTCTTACTCCATTAATAACAATAAAATCAAACTCGGTTTCGACGGCGAAGACTGGGCTCCCGGGAAGTCCCGATTCCACTCCACATCCCGGCTTCACCCCTTACCTTGATGGCTCCCACCACGGCGGTGGTCAGCGCCGAGTTGTAGTGGCTGCACAGCACGGTGGAGTACATCAGCAGGAACCTGCGAGGGAGCGACACCTGAGCACTGAGAACCACGGGCTGCCTCAGTCGGCGAGTGACCCCGCGGGCACTTTAATGGGCGTTAGAACCGACATACTAAAACGTCTTTTTAACTCTGCCCTTTCACAGGAGAATGGTCCGTCATGCATTTGCCAGACTTCCTACCTTAAGTGCCTTTTTCATGTTGTCTGTCTCTTTCCCACTCATGTTTCCTCAGAAAGGGGGTAAGAACAATGAGATTTTTTAAAACGATCTGAAATCTTTTGTTTGACAGCTACACTACAGCACTGGGTTTTAATCCCCTCTGTGCATCAGAATCACCTGGTGCACTTTTTTGTTGTTGTTAAGCCTCACCCGAGGATATTTTTTCCATTGATTTGTTGTTTTAGAGAGAGTAGAAGGGAGGAAGGGAGAGAGAGGGAGAGAGAGAGACAGAGAGATAGAAACATCGATGTGAGAGAGACACATTGATTAGCTGCCTCCTGCACATGCCCCGACCGGGGCAGGGATAGAACCTGCAACCCAGCTACGTCCCCTTGACTGGGAATTGAACCTGAGAGCCTCCGGTGCACAGCCCGCACTCTAACCCCTGGCCACCAGCCAGGCACCTGGTGCCCTTTTCCACACAGTGGTGCCTGGCAGAGCCCTCCTTCCAGTGGGGCGGGGGCCCGCAGGCGGTCTCAGCTCCATGAGGAAGGCCATGAGCAGCCAGCGCTGAGAAGCACAGGTGTCAGGAGGGAAAATCGGCGAGTAGCTGCTGGCTTTGGACAAAGGCGATGGACGTGAATGGGTGTCCATGTCAGTGACGCCCCTGCGCCTATTACCAAAGTTAACGTGACAGGCAGTCGACCCTGTCAGTACTTCATACCCACTTGTCAATGAAATGACCACAGACTGTGCCCGGGCACCAGACAGGAGAATATACCCGCCCAGGACAGAATCTACAACCCAGCCACAGGGACAGGAAGAAAGAGATTCGTTTCAACCAAGGAGTCAAGGAAACTGGCTTCAACCCAAGTGGGGTGCAACATACCACCCACCTGAATCGGGTGATTAAATGCTGACAGAGATCACTGGATTTTAAAGCCAAATCCCAGTTGGAAGGCAGGAGCAGAGGGAACCCTAAGACAGGACTCAGCCAGTGCGCCTGGAGGATAAATCCTGCGGAAAGTCAGCGCTCAGTCTCCAGTCCAGGCCCAGATCTCTCACTGCTAGTGAGAATCAGAACAGTAATGGCGTTTGGTCGGAGATGTTTATTATTTTACTAGAGGCCCACTCACAAAAATTTGTGCACTCAGGGGAGTCCCTCAGCCCGGCCTATGTCCTATTGCAGTCTGGGACCCCTCAGAGGATGTCCATCTGCTGGCTTAGGCCTGCTCCCTGGGGAATTGGGCCTGAGCTGGCAGTCAGACATCCCTCTGGCAGCCCGGCAGCCCTTGGGGGATGTCCACTTGCCAGCGGGGAGCAGGCCTAAGCTGCAGTCAGACATCCTTAGTGCTGCCGAGGAGGCGGGAGAGGCGCCCACCACCACCGCTGTACTGGTAGCCATCAGCCTGGCTTGTGGCTGAGCAAAGCTCCCCCTGTGGGAGTGCACTGACCACCAGGGGACAGCTCCTGCATTGAGCATCTGCCCCCTGGTGGTCAGTGTGTGTCATAGTGACCAGTCATTCCCAGTTGTTCTGCTGTTAGGGTCAATTTGCATATTACCCTTTTATTATATAGGATAGAGGACTGGTGCACGGGTGGGGGCCGGCTGGTTTGCCCTGAAGGGTGCCCCGGATCAGGGTGGGGGTCCCGCTGGGGTGCCTGGCCAGCCTGGGTGAGGGGCCGAGGGCTGTTTGCAGGCTGGCCACACATTCTTTAGGGTGAGGGGTCCCCACTGGGGTGCCTGGCCAGTCTGGGTGAGGGGCTGAGGGCCGTTTTCAGGCTGGCCAAGCCCCCTGGCAACAGAAATTCCCAGCCTCTCCTTTTTTTCTTTTCTTTTTTTATTCTGGAATTTATTTACCTTCTATAATTGAAACTTTGTAGCCTTGAGTAGAGCTCAGAGCCAGCCAGGGTGGGCAGGAAGCTTGGCTTCCTCCATCGCCAGGGGCAACCCAAGCCTCCTGCTCGCTCCAGCTCTGTGGCCACAGCCGACTAAAAGCAGGTATCTGGGGTTTATTTATCTTCTATAATTGAAACTTTGTTGCCTTGAGTGGAGTCCAGAGCCTGCTGCGGCAGGCGGGAAGCTTGGCTTCCTCCATCACTGGGGCAACCAGGCCTCCTGCTTGCTCCAGCTCCATGGCTGCCGGCCGCCATCTTGGTTGGGTTAATTTGCATATAGTTGCTCTGATTGGCTGGTGGGCGTGGCTTAAGGCATAGCGGAGGTAAGGTCAATTTGCATGTTTGTCTTTTATTAGTGTAGATTAGCAGGGGTGGTAGAGAACAAAGATTAAAGTACATCACGCGTTAACATAAAGCTGAGGAACAGACTCACAATCTTTCAATTTTGTAATTCTCTGGAAAATGTCTGTTATCGAGGTAATTGCAATAATTTGACAAGTGAGAGAAGCCGCCATCTTGGCCTGTGTGGCTTTAATTTGAAATGTGCAGCTGACAGACTTGCAGGTTTCATCTGAAAGGAGTCGGGGAATCTGAGTAAATTGGTACACGCTACTCGCATGTTGAAAAGAAGCTGATTTACGACATTTTCGACTTTGGTTTCTTAGGTTTCAAAGGGCTGCTTTGCTGTGCAAAGCCACCAGGTTCATCAGCTTTGCTAGGGCCGCATTAGGGCCTGAAATTACTGGGGGGAAATCAGGTAAAGCAGATTGTAAATGCAGTTTTAAAAGGTTAAATACCTTTTAATTCACTAAGTTGTAAATGGAACTAATTTACAGTAAATTGTTTAGGAGATTTTAATCAGTTAAACGTTAGAAAACAAACCATTAATCAAATAATGAAAGTAAAATTATGTTTATGCAAAAATTACTGGCTTTATAAATAGAGCAGCAGTATTTATATATTAAAGGCTTAACAAAATCTCCGTTTTAATTTTTACATTTTTAATAAACTCAACATTAATGTAGAGCCCTGAGGAACTATGAATAATCCTGCTCATGCATAAAATGAAAAGATTAGAAAGCACAGCCTTTGTGAGTGGTGGCTCTGCTGGGCCCGGGGGGTAAGAGACAGTGCCCCCAGCACCTGCTCTGCAGGAGCTCAGAGCCTACATCAGAGACAGCAGCCCAGGGCAGGGGACCACCCCAACTCGGACACAGGAAAGCGTCCAGCAGGCTTCCTCACCGGCACTGCGGCCTCACACCAGGGCCAGCATGGACGTCCTTTAGTTTTATTGTCACTTTGGTTCCTATCCCAGGGTTCTGGTCACGCATTTTCTCCATCCCACATTTTAGTGAAACCATCTGGGCTGTGTTCAGAATCACGGACACCTTGGATTTAAGACTCCAATGTCCATCTACCACGAGTGTGGGCAACCAGGATACTCACTGGCCAGCTGGGGAGGAGCCCCCTCTCTAACATCCTGGGCATTGGCGGGGGTGGGGGGGTGGGGGTGGGGCTAGGGGAGGGCGTGGGGGTGGTCTGAATTAGCCAGCAGATCTTGGTAACAGATGGCATCTCCACAGAAAGCTGCACTTCTTAGTGTAACCACTAGGTGTCCCCAAAGAGGATAAATATAAAACCACTGAGATCAAAGTAGTGTTGGTTTTTTTCCTAAGAAACATAATGTATTTCTATATGCAAATAAGTACCTGTGCAATCCTTTGGTAAAGACCCAGGTTCTAAACTAAAAGAACTTCTATTAACTCAGTCCAAAGGAAACCACACCACTTTTAACACCAAAAAGCCGACCTGCATATGATAGTTTTGATTGGGGCACCTGTGGATGAATAAAATGCAAAGATATTTAAAAGCACTGCAAATACTCAGCAGCTTTTTTCCATTCTGCATTTTTTAAATTGCATATCATCTGTGTCCATTTGAAAAATAATAGCAGATCTATACTAATAAAAGGGTAATATGCTAATTAGACTGGGAGACCTTCCCGGAGACCTTCCCGACAAAGCCATGGTGGCGGGGCCAAGGCAGAGGAAGCTAGGGGCAATTAGGCCAGGAAGGGAGGGCAGTTGGAGGTGATCAGGCTGGTCGGTGGGGGGGGCAGTTGGGGAAAAGCAGGCCAGTGGGAGGGGGCAGTTGGAGGTGAGAAGGCCAGTAGGGGAGGAAGTTGGGGGTGAGCAGGCTATCAGGCAGAGTGGTTAGGGGCAATCAGGCAGGCAGGCAGGTGAGGGGTTAGGAACCAGCAGTCCCTGATTGCAAGGGGGATGTCTGACTGCCGGTTTAGGCCCAGATTGGAGAGGGTGCAGGCCAGGCTGAGGGACACCACCCCCCCCCTCCCCGCACGAATTTCATGTACCAGCCCACTAGTATATGATATACATCTATTTAGATAGCAGATGCCAGCTATGCCCAAGGGATAGAGGTGCCCATGTGGACAATCCCGGACCAGAACCCCTGCTCAAAGTTTTCTTCCTGTTTCTGCAAATGACACACATACACAAATATTTACCCAAGCCTGCCTGGCACGCTGGTGGCAGTCACAAACAGAACTTAATGGCCTCATTTACAACCTGCTCTGGCTACCATCCCATGCACAAGCGCATATAGAAATTCAAAACAGATGTTCAGATACTAAAAGGCACTTGAACACTCCTGCACCGACCACAATGGTACCCAGAACATTGCTGTTCTATAATTCCAGGTTTCAAAGAATGTCAAGAATTCTCATCTTGCCATCTCTGGTAGGACTCTCCAACCCCAGGCCTCCGTGATGTGTGAGGACGCTGGTCATGGGATGAATAGGGCCCGTCTTCCTAGGGCAGTGATGGCGAACCTTTTGAGCTCGGCGTGTCAGCATTTTGAAAAACCCTAACTTAACTCTGGTGCCGTGTCACATATAGAAATTTTTGATATTTGCAACCATAGTAAAACAAGGATGTATAT